CCTCCCACTGCCCCCTCTGCCCCAGCCTGCCCCCTCTGCTCCTGCCAGCCCCCAAGATGATCCTCTACTTCTCTGACAACACCGTCATCTCCCATAATCACTTCTCTCCCTCCACACTCCTCCAATTCTCTCCCTCCACACTCCTCCAAGAGTGAGGAGGAAGTTAGCACAATGTTTGGCACCCCCTCCCCAAGGAAATTGGATCATTTCCTTCTTTTTTCCAGGATTGAGACTCTCTTACACTCTTTCTTCCTCTACCCCCTTCCTCTGTCTCACCCCCCCCAACCATACTGTACACTTTTTAATGGTTTATGGGGTGCAATACTTGCTTTGCCCCGGGCACTGGCAACCCATTCTACACCACTGCTGGGAATGTCCCCTATCTGAAACCCTGGAGAGAAACTATCATGGGCAATGCTGACGAATGGTCTGACTCAGTATAAGGCAGCTTCCTATTTTCCTAAGCAGAAGGGTCACAACTCAGTGGCAGAGCATCACTTTTGCATGCAGAAGGCCCTGATTCCAATCTTTGGTATGTCCAGGGACACTGCCAATCAGTGTAGACAGTACTGAGCCAGGTAGACTAAGTGTCTCATTCAGTACAAGGCAGTTTCCTGGGCTGGGGTTGACCTTCTAGCTCCCCAGTGGTTGGCGTTGACATGAGCTCATGTTCCTCCTAATTCAATCCTTCCTTTATGTTCAAGAGCCTTGAGCATGGCCCCATTATCGGCCATTGCCATGGAGACGAATGGGATACCACTATAAAAAAAACCAGGATTACGGTTATGATCCAGGCAAGAGAGTGTGAGAACAGATGGACTCTTAATAGCCATGCAAATGTTCTTAGTGATAAAACAAAAATGTTCTGGGTGTAGGTAGAGTGGGAAAGGTCCAGAATATACAGCCATGAAGCCAGCCGTCATTTCCAAAGTAGTTGCACCATCAATTATCTCAGTGTGCCAGAGTTATCATCATCATCACCTTACAAAGTGCTGGTGCTAGCGAATAAACGGTACACACACACACATACACACAAGCGTTAAGTGGCACTCAGGCTTTTAACTGGTTCCCTGCACAGGAATTAAATTCTACCGCACTCATTCTGCTTTATTTCACCCATATGCTCAAATGGTATCCCTGTGCTTTTTTTTCAGGATGGAACAGTGAGTGGTGAAAGGCTATCTATTTATGCAGACAAATTCACTGGGGTGAGAATATGCTACTGGTACAAAGCACCACCCAATGGGTAGTCCTTCTGTACCAGCTTACTGTCATGGCCCCAGAGGTCAGAGTCTATGACTTCAGGAAGACTTCAGGTCCAGGGATTTACAGTGAGAAAGGGGACTGCCCTCGGCGACAGTATTTCTTCATCCAGCACATAGTTAAACGAGGTGGAGTATAGGGTCAGGTTCAAGGTGCTGGTCTTGACCTTTAAAGCCCTTTGTGACTTAGGGCCCTCGTATCTATGGGACCGTCTCTCCTAGTATGCCTCGCAGAGGACCTTAAGGTCCATTAATAACCATAGTTTAGAGGTCCCGGGCCCTAAGGAAGTCAAACTATCCTCTACCAGGGCCAGGGCCTTTTCAGTGATGGCTCCAACCTGGTGGAATGCTCTGTCCCATGAGACTAGGGCCATACAGGATTTAACCTCCTTCCGTCGGGCCTGTAAGACAGAGCTATTCCGCCTGGCCTTTAATTTGAATTCAGCCTGATCTTTTATTTCCCTTCTCTTCCCTCCCTCTCCCCTTTTATGAAGATCACCCAATCTGAGACACCACAGCTAATTCTCCCCTGGCCTCCTCACTGGCCCAAGTAGGACCAATTCAGCCAGCTAGCCCTGGGGATTATCTAATTGATTTTTGATTTTTATTGTTATTCATGTTTTTATAATGTATTTTATGCTGCTTTTATAATTAAGTGTTTTAAATTTGTTCTTAGCCACCCTGAGCCCAGTTTTTGAACCGGGAAGGGCTGGTTATAAATAAATAAATAATTATTATTTTTTATTAAACTATGGAACTCGCTCCCACAGGAGACAGCGATGGCCATCAACTTAGATGGCTTTCACAGCAGATTAGACAAATCCTTGGATGAAAGGGCTATTGGTGGCTACAAGCCAGGATGGCTGTGTTCTGCCTCCATGGTAGGAAGTGGCAATGCTTCTGAATTCCAATTGCTGGAGTCCACAGGAGAGAAGAGTGCTCTCGTGCTCAACTCCTGCTTGCGGGTTTCCCAGAGGCCTCTGATTGGCCACTGTGAAAACAGGATGCTGAGTGAGATGGGCCATTGGCCTGGCTGAGCAGGCTCTTCTTATGTTCAACACCTAAACTACGGGGAGCACTTCCTCAAAAACAGCCTGTGATGCCACCAGCCTGTCTAGCCTGAAGATGCTGTCTTGCCCTCCTCTAGCTCAGAGGACTCCAGCTCAAAAGTCCTAGTGCAACGTTCCACTCACTGTCTCCATCAGAGCTGACAGCTGCTGAAGCAGGCTGGGCCCCTGTCAATGAAGAGACCCATCTCAGTCAATGAGGAGCTCACAACTGAGGTATAATAGTTAAAGCTATGGTTTTCCCAGTAGTGACGTATGGAAGTGAGAGATGGACCATAAGAAGGCTGATCACCGAAGAATTGATGCTTTTGAATTATGGTGCTAGAGGAGACTCTTGAGAGTCCCATGGACTGCAAGAAGATCAAACCTCTCCATTCTGAAGGAAATCAGCCCTGAGTGCTCACTGGAAGGACAGATCCTAAAATTGAGGCTCCAGTACTTTGGCCACCTCATGAGAAGAGAAGACTCCCTGGAAAAGACCCTGATGTTGGGAAAGATGGAGGGCACAAGGAGAAGGGGACGACAGAGGACGAGATGGTTGGACAGTGTTCTTGAAGCTACCAGCATATGTTTGACCAAACTGTGGGAGGCAGTGGAAGACAGGAGTGCCTGGCATGCTCTGGTCCATGGGGTCACAAAGAGTCGGACATGACTAAACGACTAAACAACAACAACAACAACAATATAATAATAATAATAATAATAATAATTTATTATTTGTACCCCGCCCACTCTGGGCGGCTTCCAACAAAGATGAAAAATACATTAAAATGTCACACATTAAAAACTTCCCTGAACAGGGCTGCCTTCAGATGTCTTCTAAAAGTTAGATGGTGGTGGAGACGCTCCTACAGGTATACTGGACCGAGGCCGTTTAGGGCTTTAAAGGTCAACACCAACACTTTGAATTGTTCTCGGAAACATACTGGGAGCCAATGGTAGGGCTGAGGCTCCTATTTCAGGCTCAGTCTGAGATTGGCCAGTGCTGAAACAAGCACTGCTCTTAGGAAGAGGTCCACCTGAGCCCTGTCCATGGTACCCTCGCCTCTGCCTGTGATGGGGCACCAGCTACTTTGAAATAAGCAGAAGCTGTGTATATGCAGAGCAGTGCTAAGGATCAGTGTGGTGCAATGAGCTGAACCCGTGAGCTCTGTGTTCGAGTTCTGCTTGGGTGTCCTTTGCAAGCCACCATTTCTCAGAGAGGGATGCATTCTACCCCCAGCCCTGACGTATCACATTTCTGTTGTAGGCCACAAATTAGCAGCTTGGTGTGCAAGCTTGAGAATTAAGCTGCAGAATGATTAGCCGCTCTTAAAAGTTGCTGCATTGCTCCTAATTTTATATATTAACGGGTTCTGTCGTTAATCCATGCCGTGATTCAGGCTGCAAACCTGAACACACTTTGCTTGGTGGGAGTTAGCTCGATTGACCGCCATCCAAATAGGCAAAAGATTGCGCCATCATTCTCCTTTCTCCACTTCCTCCCCCTCTTTCTATCCCCCTGCTGCTTTTGGGCAGACAGCCAACTTTAACAGAATCACTGAGATCTTTCCTAGCTTAACAGGGTTCTGCGAAGTTCAATCATTGGAAGCTATTTGGATACGAATCAATAATAAAAAAATATTTCTTTTTTCAAAAAAAAAAAAAAAAGATTGGACAGGATAAAACGAGAGAGATCTTTTTCTAATGAAAGAGATTGGCAGGCAGAGCCTTCCAGGGGAAAAACTGGCCGCATTCCGCAGAGATGGCTTTGAGAGGGAGAAGAAATGGAGTCACCGGGTACTGTAAAATTGAGTATTAAAGGCTTTAATGTGAGGGTGGATTATGATACATTGTTAAACTTAATTATGCTTAAGGATGGAGCTGCAAACCTTTATGGGGAGCAGAGCTATGAATTCCAGGTGTGTTTTGCAAGGGGGGGAACCATTGCTGAACCTCAGAGTCATTGTTTTAACTCTTGCTAAACTTCAGAAGCATTGCTTGGTTTTCGTGATGGGGGGTGGGATTGCTAGAATTTTGAACCACTTAGATTTCCTGCAAAAAAGGGGGGGGCTGTCGTTCACAGTTCTACACTTCCCAGCACCCTTAACAACCAACAGTTCCCAGAATTCTTTGGGGGAAGTCATGCGTTTTAAACGTATGGTGTGTGCACAGTCCCAGAGAAGTTGCTGCAAAACCCAGGCACCGGAGAAATGTCCCAGATATGTTCACACATGTACAGTGGTACCTCAGGTTACATACACTTCAGATTACAGACTCCACTAACCCAGAAATAATGCTTCAGGTTAAGAACTTTGCTTCAGGATGAGAATAGAAATCGTGCTCCGGCAGTGCAGCGGCAGCAGGAGGCCCCATTAGCTAAAGTGGTGCTTCAGGTTAAGAACAGTTTCAGGTTAAGTATGGACCTCCACAACTAATTATGTACTTAACCTGAGGTACCACTGTAAAGTCATATAAACGGCCACATTTCTAGTCAGGTAATTGTAGGCGACTGTTTGAAAAGGACTTCTTCACAGAGCGCATGGCTAAACTGCGGAACTTGCTCCCACAAAAGGTAGTGAGGGCCACAAAATTTGGACAGGGCTGAAAAAGGATTGGACAAAGTCATAGAATCATAGAATGGGACCCTGGGTGCCATCTAGTCCAACCCCCTACAATGCAGAAATCCTGCCATCCCTGAGTGGGCTCGAACTACCAACCTTCTGGTTTACAGACAGACGCACTAACCCATTTCGCCACAGGAGATACAGAGGAAGACAAGGCTATTATTATTATTAATTGCTAAGATTTTTTCCAGGAAACGTCATAAATGCCTATCCAAATCTGAATCAGGCCGAGGGGGATTCACCTGTCACTCCCTCAAATTCCCAAACCAAGATTTAAAAGGGAAAACAGAGATCTAGGAGGTTAGATGATGTAGGCTCAAGGAGCAGATTAAGCATTTCCCTGGACGGCATGAGACGAATCAGTCAACAAATACTGGAGAAGAAGCTGAATGCGCTTGCATCTCATTTGCCAACTTATAATTCATTTTTATGTGCAGTTTGGAAGTCTTCCACATGGCTCGGCTGCTTTTGCAACTTGAGAGGGTTCTAATTTTTTTCCTCCCTACTTGGTCCCAGAGGTCTTTGAACGTCAACTTTGGTCAGGTCTGACAATAAGTCACTTTGCAGTCTCCCCAATGGAACATTCCTGCTCGGCTCTTAAATCTTTCCTTTGCCTATTCATTGGGCCTCATTTAAATATTTCCTCCCAATTATAAGAGTTAATGGCTATGAGATGAGGAACAGAAGGAGAAATATGAGCTGAAGATGCGACGATGCGGTGGAGCAAGGAACAGGTTCCAGCAGGAAAGGAAAGGTTCCAGTTAATGCCAGTGTCTCCCTCTTTGATCTGCTAGGACAGGGGTAATCAATATAGTGCCCTCCATATCAGGATAGACTCCAACTACCATCAACCTTTGGCGGTTCTCCAACATTTATCTATTTATCTATTTCATTTTTTAAAATATTAATTTTTATTAGTTTCCAAATTTTAATAAATCGATCCAAATTATTTAAATTTCATACATAAAAAAGAGATTTCCCACTCCTGATACAAACATATGTCCATTGCTTCCTGGTTTTGCTACTTCATTCTTCTTCTTTAATCACCTTCTCATCCTTCTATTAATTTTAATCCATTTTCATAGCTAGCCTTTGTTGTTTCCTCGCAATGAGCACCTTTGTTTTTCCCCAAACATGTAAATATTCATTTCACATGTGTAGCCCTCCCGGCACTCTGTTTCCAGACCCTGGAGTATAGAGATAATTTACTATTTATATATTTCATAATATTATGGCATCCCATCCGACAGAAGATATTGCAAAAAAGGCTCAAAAACATTTGTGTTCGGGTTCTCACTTTTTGAAACATGGCAACCCTAGAATGAAACAATTAAATTATCAGTTGTTGTTTAGTTGTTTAGTCGTGTCCGACTCTTCGTGACCCCATGGACCAGAGCACACCAGGCGCTCCTGTCTTCCACTGCCTCCCACAGTTTGGTCAAACTCATGCTGGTAGCTTCGAGGACACCATCCAACCATCTTGTCCTCTGTCGTCCCCTTCTCCTTGTGCCCTCCATCTTTCCCAACATCAGGGTCTTTTACAGGGAGTCTTCTCTTCTCATGAGGTGGCCAAAGTATTGGAGCCTCAGCTTCACGATCTGTCCTTCCAGTGAGCACTCAGGGCTGGTTTCCTTAAGAATGGATAGGTTTGATCTTCTTGCAGTCCATGGGACTCTCAAGAGTCTCCTCCAGCACCATAATTCAAAAGCATCAATTCTTCGGCGATTAGCTGAAACAACACTTTAAAACACTAAAAATCCAGAATGCAATAAAAAACAAAACAAAATAAACAATAAAATAAAAACAGATGAAAGCATACATCAACATTCTACATGTCCTGGTAGACTTCTCTAAACAAAAAGGTTTCTAACAGACAGTGGAAAGAAGTACATTGAAGGCACCTGCCTGATGTCAATAGGCAGGGAGTTCCAGAGTTTATGTGTTTCCAAGATTGATTTCTTTACAAAGTGGAACAGGTCAGTGCTAGTTCCACAGATTGGCATGGTCAAATAGCATGCATGGGGTCCAGCAAACTGGTCCCAAGGGTTGTATATTCTAATAGCCAGTGCTTTTTCAAAAAAAGAGAAATCAGTGCCGGTGCCCACCAAGCAGTTGTTCCAGTAAGTGTCACACTTTTTAACAACAACAAATATTGCTGACGGTATTGTGTACCCTTAAGTACCCCATGGAAAAAAGCACTGCTAACAGCAGCAACTTGAATCTGGCCCAGTAGCAAATGAGCAACAATTGCAAATCTTTGAGCAGAAGGAGTTATATGCTGACAAGGTCTCACTCCTGTCAGCAATCGCACCGCAGCATTCTGCACTAACTGTTGCTTCCGGATCAGGTGCAAGGGACATTGTCACTTGGAGTGGCCTTGGTAGCTCTTAGTGCTTTTCTCCAGCTCCATGTAATTCATCAGCTATGCCCCATTTGGACAGAGACAACCCGGCGATGGCACTCTGCACATTACTCATGTCCAGGCTAGATTACTGCAATGCGCACTATGTGGGGCTACCTTTGAAGGTGAACTGGGAAACTACAACTAATCCAGAATGCGGCAGCTAGACTGGTGACTGGGAGCAGCCGCCGAAACCACATAACACTGGTCTTGAAAGATCTACATTGGCTCCCAGTATGTTTCTGAGCACAATTCAGGGGGTTGGTGCTGACCTTTAAAGCCCTAAACGGCCTCAGTCCAGTATACCTGAAGGAGCGTCTCCACCCTCATCATTCTGCCCGGACACTGAGGTCCAGCACCGAGGGCCTTCTGGCTGTTCCCTCACTGCGAGAAGCCAAGTTACAGGGAACCAGGCAGAGGGCCTTCTTAGTAGTGGCACCCGCCCTGTGGAACACCCTCCCACCAGATATCAAAGAGAAGAACAACTACCAGACTGTTGGAAGACATCTGAAGGCAGCCCTGTTTAGGGAAGCTTTTAATGTTTAACAGACCACTGTATTTAAATACTTTGTTGGAAGCTGCCCAGGGTGGCTGGGGAGACCCAGCCAGTTGGGCGGGGTATAAATAATAAATTATTATTATTATTATTATTATTATTATTATTACTCATAATACGCCCAAAATGCAGCAGCCGGGTTGCACTAGTTGCCAGTTTCTTTCCAGACCTGACTCAAGGTGCTCATGCGGGGGGTTAAAGTCCCAAATATCTGGAGTATCTCCTACACAGACTCTCTTGGGTGTTAAAATCAGCAGAGTGGACCCTTTTGGTAGTTCAACCGGGAAACCACAGCAGTGGAGAGCATTCTTGTGCTTGGATCCTGCTCGGGGGTATCTTACAGGCATCTCTTTGGCCCCTTTGTGAACAGGATGCTGGACTAGATGGGCCATATTCCTGATCCAGCAGGCTCATCTTGCATTCTTATGTTCTTATCGGAGTGCTGAAGGCTCTGTGGGGCTACACAGATAGGTGGGGGGGGGCAGAAAGAGAGAGAGGAGAGGAGGAGAGAGAGAGGAATCTTTCCTGGGAGACTCACATTTTAATTATAAAAGCTAATCCAGCTCATGCAACTTTTCATCTAGTTGGCTGGTTAAATGATACTGTTGATTCTGGGGCTGCGAGCAAAGCGGGGGGGGGGGGGATTGAAGCATGTGTTACAATTGAAATTCAATTATAACGAAAGCAATCTGCAATTATTGCTGAGGAATAGCACCCCACCCTGCCCACTGCCCCAAGGAATACACAGGGCAGAGCAATCATCATTGCATTAGCGAGAGGAGAACATGCCGTATTAACTCCTTCACCGCTGCTGCAGGGAACCACCAAGCTCAGGAGAGTCTGCCTTGCGGAAGCTGCTGAACCTGTCGTTCTGGAAGCTACACACTGAGCTGCGTTCATTCAGGGGGTTGGCCAGGGATTTTCCTCCCTGCTCGCTTGCCCCCTACCTTGAAGTGGACTGTTAGCACTGGCTGCAAATGGACAGTTTCACAGTTAGTTCCATGTGCAGTGCTAGCTAGAACAGGGGTGGATAAAGTGGGAAACGCTGGATAGGAAACTTAAAAGAAAGTCCTTCTTCATGCAGCATGTAGCTAAACGATGGAACTCAATCCAGTGGCATAGCGTGGGTTGCTGGTGCCCGGGGTTGGGCAAGTGGGCAGCCCATGTGGAGGCAGTGACAGCCACCAACTTAAAGGTAAAGGTAAAGGGACCCCTGACCATTTGGTCCAGTCGTGACCGACTCTGGGATTGCGGCACTCATCTCGCTTTACTGGCCGAGGGAGCCGGCGTACAGCTTCCGGGTCATGTGGCCAGCATGACTAAGCCGCTTCTGGCGAACCAGAGCAGTGCACGGAAACGCCGTTTACCTTCCTGCCGGAGTGGTACCTATTTATCTACTTGCACTTTGACGTGCTTTTGAACTGCTAGGTTGGCAGGAGCAGGGACCGAGCAACGGGAGCTCACCCTGTCGCGGAGTTTCAAACCGCCGACCTTCTGATCGGCAAGTCCTAGGCTCTGTGGTTTAACCCACAGTGCCACCCGCATCCCAACTCACATTGCTTTAAAACAGTATTGGAGAAATTCATGCGGGAGAAGGCTATGGACAGCTACCAGCCATGATGGTTATGCTCTTTCTCCACAGTCAAGGCAGTGGTGCTTCTGAACAGGGGTGTCAAGTCTGGGGAGCCCTGGGGGCAAGGCCCCAACAAAATTCTAAATCATAAGGCTGAACCCCATAACTTCTGTAGCGGCTGCACAGTCACAGTGCTGGGTGTGCACGCCCGATGTCAGCATGCCGCCGGGCATGGCACGCTGACATGTACACACACTGCGGGGCATGCATGCATGGCACACTGATGTCACATGGCCCTGGATCCCCTCTATCATGGGGACAAGGTGGCAAATGTGCTTTTGAACACCACTTGCTGAAAGGGAGACTGCTATTCTGCTCTGATGCTGTTTATGGGTTTCCCATTGAGGCATCTGTTTGGCCACTGTGAGAACAGGATTCTGGACTAGATGAGCCACTGGCCTGATCCAGCAGAGCTCTTCTTATAGTCTTGGGAGTGGCACTGCCTGTCTGGTTCCTGCTTCCTTAGACCTAGTTTTGCCCCTGTAGTACTCAGCAGGGAGGAGGATGGGGGCAAAGCTAGAATTAGTTGTCTGTCCCTGTCTTTGGCTCT